TCAAATTTTCTTTACATGACTGACTTTGTACTTAAAACTGTCGTATATACATGTAATTATGCTTCGAAATTTAAATATTCCATGTAACAAAAGGTGAATGGTTACCCCGAATCTATGAGCAGCATATATACGTAATATTCTACTGTCTGTCTCTGTCTGGATTCAACGTAGAACTTGGCACCAAAGTGCACCAGTTCCAGTTGCCACGTTGCAAATAGCACACAGAGGTAGACAAGAAGATGAGTGAAGAGAATCAATAGAGTTTGACAAGTATAAGAGTGAAACAGAATGGGTAATGGTAGAAAGAAATATGAAAGATTACAGAGACTGAATACATCTGCGCTGGCCATTGACAACGATTTTGAGCCATGTCACCTATTGTCTCCAGCCATTGATTCCTAGAGTCAGTCCCGAGGGCCCCAACCCGGGAGTCTGCATCTCCCTACCTGACTCAGTTTAACTGTCAAGGATTTCATGGATTGATGCCATGTTTTTGTTTGGCCACCACCTACCCTTTTCCAACCTGCACTTATATCAGCTAGTAATGCCCGTCGGGGGAGGCGATGGTTAGGCATGCGCAGTACGTGACCTAGCCATCTTAGTCTATGTAACTTTATAGCCTCGTCGATTGATTTTCCCTCTTTGCCCAACACTACGCCTAACGTCAACATTACTTACCTTGTGAAACCACCTAACGTGAGAAAGAGATCGTAGACATCTATGATCGAAAGCAGTCAACCTTTTCATGTCTTCAACGCGTATTGGCCATGTTTCAGAGCCATAGAGAAGGACGGAGCGAACTGATGAGCAGTACACACGTCCCTTGGTTGATAACCGGATGTCACGCCTACGCCAGAGATGGTGTAAGTCAGCGAAAGCAGCTCGAGCTTTTCGGATCCGTGCTGAGATTTCATCGCCAATCAGTCCGTTGGTGCTAATACAACTTCCCAAGTAGGTGAAGTGGTCAACATGTTCTATCACTTCACTCCCTATCACTAAGTTAGGGGTTGACGTGGTCCAGTCCTGTAGCAGCATCTTACATTTTGCAGGGGCGAATCGCATGCCAAACATACGAAGATTGCTGCTCAAGGTGTTCAGAAGACTCTGCATTTTGTCAGCATCCTCCCCTAACAGGACTATGTCATCTGCATATTCTAAGTCCATAAGACTATTCCCTGGTAACAAGTCGATTCCTAAGTCACTACGTTCAGTTAAGGATACTTCCATTAGCATATCTATGATGAAGTTAAACAGAAATGGGGAAAGTGGACATCCCTGTCGGACACCACTGGTTGTTACCAATTCAGATGACAATTCCCCATAAGCCCTTACACGACTACGTGAGTTTGAATAGAGTGCCTTGATTAGTGCAATGTACTTTCTTGGCACTCCCTTCACAGTCAGACATTGCCATAGTACCTTTCGATCCACGGAGTCGAAGGCCGCCTTCAAGTCAAGAAATATGACAATTGTTGGACGCCGAAAAGTGTGTCTATGTTCTAGAATCTGTCGAAGAGTGAAGATATGATCTATGTGATAAAGAATGCATCAGGCATGAAACCTTTAACTTATTAAATAGTCACTAGAACCAATGAATCTCGTCTTTCCAACTCACATCATTTATAGGTACAACGTTTTCTCTCTCTTCATTCTGTATTTATTTTTGTTATGTGCTGTTTTGTTTCTCTCTTCCTTGCAAACTCTACTTAAAACATTCTTGTTCGTTCTTTTACACTCTGTATATCTCGACCATTTTGCTATCGCTTACGCCAGTAAATATGCTAGTAGTATCTACTTTTGTAACACCTTCAAACATTTTAATTTTGGCTTTGCTACCGACATACTAATATGTTGTTGAGATAATCTTTAAACTATGTAGAACTTTATTTATTGTTAATGTAAACAAAAACTGGATGCAATATTGTAGTAAAATGCTGAGAATTCCATTCTGTATCACAAGTACTGATTTGGAATAAAGCTTATATAATAATAATAATAATAATAATACCTGGTCTAAAGCCTGCTTGATTTTCCCTTGTCTGTTCCTCCCGAGTTCTGCTTAGTGTATGCATGATTACTGAGCCTAGGATTTTAGACTATGTTCGTTAGGCTGATCCCCCTATGATCATCACACGAGGACTTGTTTCCCTTCTTGAATATCGGTATAATAAGTGACTTACCCCAGTCTGATGGCACTGTCTCTGATTCCCAGACTTTGCCTAGTACCTCAGTTAATCTACAAACTAGTATGTCACCCCCATATTTAAACACCGGAATAATTCCGTTGGGTCCTGCCGCTTTGCCTCGTTTCAAATTACTGATAGCTTTTGTGACCTCACTTACAGACGGCGGACCAGTGTCTATATCCCATTCGGGTGTGTGCTGGATTGGGGGAGGGAGGTTCAGTGTGACTGTAGGCAAGTTAAATTGTCCCTCAAAGTGTTCTTTCCAGCGTTCAAGGAGTCTATCCTGAGAGCTAATTAAGGAGCCATTTTTCTCAGAAATAGTCTCGCTTATGATTTGCCTTCTCCCACCCGTTTCCCTGATGAGTCGAAAGAGTTGCCTAGTGTCGCCTATCGCCGATGCTTTTTCCATCTCTTTCGCCTTTGTCAGCCACCACTGTTCACGGTCCTTGTGGAGACTTTTAGTAAGTTTCCTTTTGTGCAGCTTTCGCTCCTCATTGAATTCGGAGCTCGCTGGAATAAGTCTTCTAGCATCTATCAGTTCGGATGAGGCGGTGGAGATCCAGTGGTTTTTACTCACCTTAGGGTTTAACTTATTCACAGCTTTTACAGCTGTATCTATGGCTGACTGAATATTCTTCCAGGCTTCTCCAGGGTGAGCACAGCTGTCGAACTCAGATATGCGTTTAGCTAGTTCTTCCTCAAATAGGGATTTAGTTTCCTGATCGAGCTGGGAACGCGATGGTTTTACCACCAGCTATTTCCTACGTCTGTTCAGTCGTAAGCACACACGAGCCCGGACCAGTGCGTGATCGGTATCTACACACGTGTTCCAGAAGGAGCGACAATCTCCTACCGACCCACGCCAACGATAGCTTATTGCTATGTGGTCTATTTGTGTCCAATATTCTACAGTATATAAGTACTTCACCTTCCTAAATGTCTCAAGCCGACAGTCAAAAACTCTATGGACTTATGCCATATTATAGTCTGGCCACCAGTAACACTCAGTCTAATCCCATAATAACTAACGTCGCTTGTAAAGGGAGGTTGATTCGGCATACGTAACATATATCCTATCCATCTCAATCGATGCAACTTCACAACCTCATTGGTTGACCTCCCCCTTTGTATTGAAGAAAAAATTTTACCTCAGTATTGCTGACCATATCCTTCCACCTACGCCTTCATCTACCTGAAACCAGTGTAGAAATCTTTTTCACTAACTCAGCATAAGCAACAAGATTCGGATTTTCATCACCAGTGTGAAGTCGATTCTTCCATACGGGTCGAAGACTTGACCAGCGTGTCAGGGGAAGGCTTTCCAGCAAGTTGCAGACTTTTTATCAGCAGCTGCCTTCGCTGGCTTCATTTTTATTCCTTTACGTTCCCAGTGGAACATAGAGCTTCAAGCTAGAACTTTGAAGTTTCGACAGCAGTGGTATTTATTTTTAACAGGATGGGGTTGCTAGCCTCATGTCCAACCTTCCCTCTTTACCAGTCTTATTACTGGCTTAGCAAAGTAAAGGAGTGCGTCGACCGGAGATCGAACCCGGACCACCTGGGTGGTCGCCGAGGACTCTACCGCTGTGCCACCGACGCACCGCTGTCTCTATACTGAAGATCAAATGACCAGAAGGAATCGGCAACAAGAAATTCTGGCTAGGAACGAACCAATCGAGAACTGATTGCTCAACAAATATGTGGGAGGAAATGGAGACGGATCGGGCATATGCTGAGCAGACCGTCGAATGACATCGCGCACCTCCATAGATTTAGTGGAATCCCGATGGGAAGCGACGAGTGAGTCGTCGGTGCGAGGGTGACATGGGGGAGATCGTGCGAGTTAGCAGAAATGAGGAATTGTGGACAATGGTGGACCCAGCTGAAGGGGCGTCAGAAAGTAGAACAAAGTGGATATGTATCTTTGAAGCCCTATGTTCCTCCTGGAACCCAAAGGAATAATATCGTACCACCTAATACCAACGACAGAATGTCTCTTCATATCCTTCGCATTCAATGGCCATTTCTCAGCCATGAAAAAGACGGGGCGAACTGTCGACTTTCTACAATAGACAACCGTATATCACACCGGCGCCAACTATTACTATCAATGTTTTCAATGCAAGCTGGATGGGCCACTAAGCTGGGCATAACCATGCTGTCCGGTTAACTGCTTTTAACAATACATTATCCCCAATTCTTTGGATTAATCACTGTTTTCACAAGCACGTAGCGGAACGCTCTGGTTTTATGGAAACCATTACTACCGGTTGTGAGAAGCATCCAGTCAAACTAGAACTTACGTTGAAAGGAGCATCTAGATGTGTAGTAGTGTGTTCAATTTCAAATTTGTGCATGTTAAGTCTACTTGACTAAATTGACCTCACAGGGACTCATTCATTTGATAAACTTGTGAAACCAGATGGTTGGAAACACACATACAAGCTTCGCAAGCATTTTAATTTATTCTCTATACGTCCTATAGAACAACAAGCTTACCACCGAGGGTATTTAATTGTTATCAAAGCTAAGAATGATGAAGGATGGTAATAAATTAATGCGGATCTTTAAGTTGCAGAATCGGTAACCTAATTGCTACCTGCACACACACTGCACTACTTGAATAATTGACTTGAAGGTGAACAATACTATTTGGCTGTTTGAAAGTCGACTTTTAAAAATAGTCATTATATTTAATGATATCCGAGTAAAAATTACTGTTCTTCAATAAGAATTAGCATATTGTTCTATAAATATGTATAATTACTTCATAAAAAGCTGTTTTCATTATTTTAAGCCTCCAAATGCTTTCAAATGACCAGTACTGAATCTGAGAGTCAGCACAATAAATTATTGACTGACGAAGATTTTGACCCAAATGAACTGGAGAAACGATATGTACATCAAGTAAGTGTATACAGCAATATCTATAAAGTTATTTCGCTAAACAATTGAGATCTTGTAACTTATATCAGTGGATTTTAACTAAACTTGCCATTTAAAGGTACTAGAAATGATACTCAACATTAGAATATTTAACTATGCAGTTATAAATGCGTGATCATCAAAGGTAGAAGATAACGACTTTTTAAGCTTAACTGCAAACTCCTGCTACACATCTCAGAATGATTTGTGTCCCTAGATAGATATGTAGAGAGCATTTTCTAGTGAATTTCTAAATCTTTATTGAATAAAACGACACTGTATATCTAATAACTGAGTTGTAGTTGTGTGAGTGCTGGCAAAATTTCCAACCGTGTCATGAAAGCTAGGGTGGCATACGTCAACTTTAGCCACCCCTGGCGCCATCGCGACGTTACCCCGGCTGTCAAAGATCGGGTTTACAGTGCTCCAGTCTGTCTGTCTGTCTGTTTTCGACATAGAACTTTGCACAAATGTGCGGAAGTTCAAGTCGCCACATTCCGTGTAGCACGCGAAGCAAGAGAAGAAAGTACAAGAAAAGCATAATAGAAACAGTGAGCAGAGGTGTGAGACAAAGGAGTAATAAAGAAATACAAAACAGTTTCATTGAAGATCATAAGTCACAGGGAGTGGATGCATCTGCGCCACTGAGAACGGTTTTGAGCCATGTCACCAATTGTTTCCAACCATAGATTTTTACCGTCCCGAGGACCCCAGCCTGGAAGTCTACACCTTTCTACGTGGCTTAGACCAACTGTTGTGGATTTCATTGACTGGTGCCAGTTTTTGTTTGACCGCCGCTAGCTTTTTCCAGCCTGACCCTATATCGGCTAACATTGCTCGTCGAGGGAGGCGGTGGCTTGGCATACGTAACACATGTCCTAACCATCTCAGTCTTTGTAGCTTCACGACTTCGTCGATTGATTTCCCCTGTTTACCTAGAACTCTACGCGTAACCTCCATGTTGCTCACCTTATTATGCCACTTTACACGGGAAATAGAACGCAGGCACCTATGATCAAAGACAGCTAGTCTTTCATGTCTTCCACTCTCAGTGGCCAGGTCTCACAACCATAAAGGAGGACGGAGCGGACTGATGAGCAGTACACCCGCCCTTTGGTCGATAGCCGAACATCTCGTCTACGCGAGAGTCGGCGTAAACTAACAAATGCGAAACGAGCCCCTTGTATTCGTGCTGAGATTTCGTCAGAGATCAGCCCGTTGGGGCTGATGGTACTTCCCAAATAAGTGAAGCGGTCAACGTGCTCTACCACTTCACTTCCTATTTTTAAACTAGGCGTCGATGTAGTCCAGTCCTGTAACATCATCTTGCATTTGGCGGGAGCGAATCGCATTCCAAACATTCGTAGATTGCGGCTCAAGGTGTTTAGAAGACTCTGCATTTTGTCAGCGTCTTCGCCTAGGAGCACTATATCGTCTGCATATTCCAAGTCAACGAGATTATACCCTGGTAACAAGTCAATCCCTGAGTCACTGAAGTCACTTAGGGTTAAGTCCATTAACACATCTATGATGAAGTTGAATAGAAAAGGGGATAATGGGCATCCTTGACGGACACCACTGGTCGTCATCAGTTCAGATGACAGCTCGCCGTAAGCCCTCACCTGGCTGTATGAGTACGAGTAGAGTGCCTTAATCAGTGCAATATATTTTCTCGGAATTCCCTTTACAGCCAAGCATCTCCAGAGAACTTCCGATCGACAGAGTCGAATGCTGCCTTTAGGTCAAGAAATATAATGACTGTTGGACGCCGGTAGGAATGCCTATGTTCTAGAATCTGTCGGAGGGTGAAGATATGATCAATACACCCTCTTCCTGGCTAAAGCCTGCCTGGCTCTCTCGTGTTTGTGCTTCCGAGCACCACTCAGTGCTCCAGTGCGTCCTGCCTTGCTCTCCGCATATAAAAACCTGGGCCCTCCGAGCTGAGGATGTTCGGTGACTATGTATATTCGATTGTCACTGTCTCCATAGGATTGTTTGCGTTCAACGACATCATCGCGTGTGCAATTCTGAGGTCCGGCGGCGTTTTTGAACTCAGTGGATATCACCATTCGTTGAGTGTCATCACCAGCTTCGGTGGCTTGGACATGTGCTTTGTATGTCATCCCATAAGCTTCCATACAGGTCTCTGTTTGCTAGCCATGGGACGGGATGGAAAAATTGGAGAGGTGGTTAGCTCATGATGTAGCGTCGCGGGAAGAAGGATATTTGTGTTGGGCTGGCATCGGCTGGTACGTCACGACTCTCTGGTTGGAGTCCGAATAATAGCTCGAATCGGTGGCTCGAAACGTTATCGAAGTTCCTTCTTTCTTCCCTTTCCGACTATAATTGACGAATGCTATTTGAACTTGTTGAAATTGACTACTTTCCTCCCAGATGAAGTACTTTATCCGTCCTCTACCTATATTTTTACTTATCTCATCTATTGTTTTATTATTATTGTGTAGTGCATTTTCTTGGTACCATATTGTGCCAAGTTTTTGTGTTTAAATAAATAAATGAAATAACTGAGAAGTAAAATGTTATTGATTAGCCGTACGAAGTTTCGAATGACGAGAGTATGAAGTCACTTGCATTTTTTATGCAGTCGATGATGAATCAAACCTATTGTGTGAGGACTACTATTACTACGTGGCTGCCCAAACCTCAGAAGGGGAGTTTAGTTCGAACCTATAACTCAGTGGTACATAATTAACTGCCTAGGCCAGCAAGCCGCAGGTCCAGAGTATAACACCAATTTATCATGCTGTCAGTTAATATTGCTTGTGTAGTAAAATGTGTAATTCATCAAGATGTGTTAAGGGCTGGAAATATTTTAAAATTTGATTTTAGTCTTACGTTTATATCATTGTTATTTGTTTTTGTGGAACCAAGGACTTTTAAAATAACTGTGGTCATTAGTTCAACCGGAAGTAATATAACTTTATATCAGTAACACCCTAAGCAGTAAAAACACTCCATATTGATATGATAAAATAAATATCTTCATCTTTTCATTGTCAACGTGAAGTGACTTACTTACTATATTAGGGATATTTACTTGATATACATAATAGGCGTTTTATCACTTCCATTGGGTCAATGATTATTGCTAACATGATGATTTCAAGCGGTATTCTCTTTAACTGTTAATAATCTTGCTACGACAATCAAAGTGTTGAAAACCCAGTGAATTATTTTATATTCTATATGTCGAAGTAGGTTTAATCACCAACTGAAATCAATTAGAGAATCATAGAACACCAATGAGCACTAGAGATATGACTCACTCGCCTATGAATCCCACTTTCAGACAGTTGGTCCCCCTCCAATAACTTCACCCCTGCGCGTCATCACCCCTTAACACAAAAATGTGACTCAGTTTATCACATGAAAAATCTGAGTTCTAAAGATGATTGGACAACCACTTCGTCCTAATCATGTCTTAAGTGTGTTCCCCCCCCCCCTTGATAAAACTTCTGATAATTCAGCCATCTAAATTTTATAAGGCGGACTAATTGCTATCAACCGTATATTTTACATTGCATGATATAATGTAACAGTTTTCTTAATCTTTCTGTTTACTACTGACATAGGTATATGACGTAATAGCGTGTGAGTTTAGCTCTACACGACATTCACCATGGTCTAGTGTTATGAAATTTATTGAATCACAACCAATTGATAGTTTAGGCGCTGATATCGGTTGTGGAAATGGAAAGTATTTGCTTGCATCATCAAAATACTATTCTAATATAAAAGTTAATAATTCATCTACCAGTGTTCAGGATAATGATCCACTAACTCGTGTTAATTTTATTCCTATCGCTGCTTTGGAGAGAAGTTCAAAATTAGCAGAAATTGTTTATAATAGAGGTAAACTGTTATTTCTTTTCAAGGTTTTATTTTATTATTAAAACTAGAACAGTTCGCTAAATTTTTAATACTATTCTTATATTGAAAGCTTAACTGAGTCTCTTTCAGAATTTTGCAAGTACATCAGTAAACCTATCAGGACTCAACCACCTGAAACAAATTTCCAGGTGATGGTTTGAAGGGATGGGACTAATTTCAAGTTTGATGAACTGATTTCAATTAGAGAAACACTGGAAACCAGGGAGTACTGAACAGATGCCTTGCCGTAGTTTGGGACTCTTCAGTAGCACGCACCTCACGAGCCCACTGGGGACCGAACCCAGAACCTCCACGACTACAAGACGTTTGTTGATCATTCAGGCGCTAGGACAGAATCCTACAACCCATCAGTTCTAACTTTTGCCAATTCCGATACATAATATGGTATATAGGCAATGTCATCGGCGAGTATCTTTCCTCATACCCAACTTGGTGGACTCCGCTGGCAACGAATTCTCACTAGTACTTCAGGCAACTTCATCCTACTGTCAGTTACTAGTGACCTCTAAATTGATTTTCAAGTGTTGGTTTGCTAGGATTCGATTAATTTCAAGTTTGACTACAAACTGACTGCATGTGATGACAAATACTCGTCGATAACACTGTTTGAAGGTCGCGCTATGTATCTGAAGTTAGAACTGATGAGTTATAAGTTTCCGTCCTAGTGCTTGAGTGATCAACGTACTCGCTTTGTAATCTTGGAGGTTCTGGGTTCGATCTCTGGTTGGTTCATGAGCAAGTACTGCTGAAGAGTCCCAGACTAGGGCAAGGCATCTGTCCAGTACTCTGTGGTTTTTAGTGGTTCCCTAACTGAAATCAGTTCGTGACCAAACTTGAAACCAAACCGACTTCTCATACACCAGGCTATTATCCCGTACTTATTGTGTAAAGTCTGATGATAGTATCCAGTAGTTGTCTAGGCTGAATTAGGTCCGGTGGAATTTGAACGTTGGACTTATTGGCTGTAAGTCGATTGCATAGGCTACAAATATTTATTGTTTATTAAACTGCATAAATAGAAAATTGTTTTATCATATATATCGTATTAATTCCGTAGAATACGTACACTTTTTAAAATTTCACTATATACGTGTTCATTTCAACGTTTTCAGGTAAATATGACGATGCTTCATTTTTAATTATTGTCTTATAAGTGATTGTCTCTTTCTTTGAGATATTTCATGATTAACGTCTTACAGTACCGTTGCACAATGGAGGTATATTTCACTAGGCTTTTATATGGATGGTTCCAGAAGTCGAATCCCACTCTACCTTGCATTCCGATCAGCTGTTACACATTATGTGTAGTTTACTTTCTAGTCCAATGCATATATATATATATATATATATATATATATATATATATATATATATATATATATATATCCAGGTCGCTTAGTTATCATAATTTGAAGTAACCCAGAGGACTAGACAGTTGTAACCCTTCATTAGCGCAAGTCTACTACCCTACGGGGGCGGGGGGAGCTTTGACTTTTATGTACCACCAGGTTTTTACAATTCGGTCAACGTATCTGCATAATCTGAAAGTCATAAGTTATTGAAATCTCATCCAGTGGTTGAATGATAAACACTTTCTTCAAATATGAAATACAAATCGAGCAAACTTCACTTCATGGTTCTCTGGCTGATACCGGTTTTGTGGCGAAATCTACACCTGTAAAATATTTAATTCGCACATTAGCGTAAATTCGTCATGGGTAAATTTTTTATTTGTTATAGTATCTCTACTTATGTGCCAAGAAAAGCTTTGTTTCTATTTTAATAAAATTATCATATAATTCGTAAATTATCTCTCTTCCAGCATTTCTGTGATCAGAATAATGCAACGTGTTGATTATCAATATAGTTGTCCATGAATGCGTTGATGGTGCATCGGTTAGGACGCTTACCGACCATGTACATGGTCCAGGGTTCGATCTCCGGCTGACACACACCTGGTATCAGCAGTGGGTCTGCAGAATTCGGGCTACCTATATCACATACCGAGAATTCCACACTTGAATCAAGAATACTATGTGGAGAAAACAAAACTAAATTAGCTTAAACCACTAAAATAACGGCAGTTAGAAGTAGTACAATGATTTATATTATTGAATATAGATAGTTAAAATGCTCCTGGGGGTGTAGCTCCATTAAGTGAACTAAACAACATGGTGTACAATAAAATCTTATTTCAGTTTTTAAAAAGACTGTGGTTTACAGAGAGAAATGTCCAGAAAAATGTTATTTCAACTTTTAATACACTTTTTTCTCATTCCTTGCCTTCCAAGTGAAAAGTAGGACTTCAAGCCTCCAACTTTCAGTAGGGAGTAATGTTGTTTTTGCAGGATGAGATTACCAACCTCACACACAACCTTTTTTCTTTCCTGGACTTAGTCCCAGCGAAGTTGAGGAGTGCGCCGACTGGGAATCGAACCCTGATCTCCTGCTTATTTGGGAAGCATTGCACCATCTAGACCACTGAGGAGACAAGTTTAAACAAATTTTTGATATATTTTATACATTTGGAATGATCATATGGGTGCTCACTTGAATTTTTTAGTTTTGATTTGTTGTATTTTTCCCTTTGAAACTCCCTACTCTTACTTTTATACTACTGTTAATTTCTATTTTCAAATTTTAGGTTTTGATGTAGTAGTTGGTGATATTCTACAGATACCGTATTGTTCAAATCGTTTTGACTTTTTTATATGCATAGCTGTTATACATCATTTATCTACTCTGGCTAGACGTATTGAAGCAGTGAAAGAGTTGGCACGTATTCTACGTGTTGGAGGTGAAGGATTAATACAAGTATGCTATTAATTAATTAATGTCTAATGTTATATGTTGTTTATATTGGTATTATCAATACATTTAAGGAGTCAATTGATTAAGAATGCAAGTGTTATTATAATTGCACAAAATAAACCTATTGAAAATAGAACTACAGAATATCAGTTTACTATCAGCTGGGATATGAATTAGATGGTTGGGGGCGATTGGCAGGAAGCCTTAGACCTAGGTTTCGTTCTAGTTGGCACTCGTCAGCAAGGCGTATCTGCAATAGCCTTGAAGGAACGCATGTCCCTTCTGAGATTCGAACCCGCGTCATCCAGTGCCGCCTTCAGTCAGAGACGTTACCGCCAATGGGCTATTCGGGCTCGCGATTGACCTCCTGTGCACCATGATGACGAGCTACCTAGAATGGTGGCCACATTGCAAACCTGACTGATAGAATTCAGTCTGCATCAAAGGAAGGACTAGACACATCACACTAGTTGCTAGTGTCTAATCAAAGTGGGATATAAGTTGTTAGTAGAGATAATCGTTTCATTAAGTCAATGAGACTCGACGCTTGACTAATTATTATTATTATTCAACACAAACTTGGTATGATATGAGCACTAAGAGGTTGCATCATACAAAAACACTAAAATACAACATACAGGGACAGAAATAGAATAGTTAAGGGACAGAATTCTGAAAACAGCTAAGCCTACTTATAAGTGATATTTAAAGAAGCATTCAATACTTCATGTTATTTTCAGAAAGAGAGGAAGGTGGGGTATTGTAGCATGTTCACCATAGTTGATAATTTCTTGAGTTACTAATTCAGATCTTAAATTTTTAGAGATTTCAATGTATATTTTGTTATTAACTGCCCACCAGTAATTGGTTATAAAATGGGCTCCGTGAAAAAGTCTTGACTGGTAGAGATCATTTTATCTAATGTGTAGACAGATAATCTTGGACTGCACTGAATGGCTGCGGGAATAACTCATGAATTTGTAGGCGTTCGAATTCATGTCCTACTAGATTCTAATTTAATGATTAGATAGTATCATTCTTATCTCTTAAGGAGTCCTAAAATGGAACGAAACGCCTCTGTCCTTTGTCTTTTGCTTTTCAATAAATCTTTAATTAGCGTCAATCCGTAACAAACTGTATATAGTAGTATTTTTATTATAAATGTTTTTATTCCCTATTGTTTATAACTTTAATTTATTTAAGGTTTGGGCTAAAGAACAACATGGTATATCAAAGTCTGAACCGACATATTATGTAAATCGTAAAACAAAACCTACATCGTGTGATAACAATTCATCAGAAACCTCTGAACGAATAATTGAAGCTGTTCCAGGTGTACATTTACCTTTGCATATAAATGGAACAGAATTTCGTAATACAGATATGCTTGTCCCATGGAAAAAAAAGAATCATAAAGCCAGTATACAGTCTGATGGTAGGTAGATTAACTGTTTTATGTTTTTTTTCTATTTTAGTGGTGTGAAGCACAGATATTGTATACTATACTACAGTATGACACTTCATTGTGCGTCATTTCCTCAGTGGTAGAATGCTCACTGACGACGCATTTGGCCTGGGTTCAATTCCCCGTTGACGTATTCCTAAACCTCGCTTAGCTGATAGTAAGCTTGGTAAGGAGGGGAAGTTGGGTGTGAGGCTAGCAATCCCCACCCCGTAAAAGCAACATCATGGCTACCGCAATTTTTAAAGCTTAAGCTCAAAGTCTTATGTTGCACATGGAAAGCAAAGGAATGAATAAAGGCACTTCATGAGTTGTAAGCTTCCTCTTTCTCTACACTAGAACTCTTTTATCTTAAAGTTGTCCGTTCAACGCCTACTGAACTCATAGTTTTACTTCTGATGTTAATTGAACAGTCCTAGGGCTTGGTCATCATTGGTTCACTTAAACTCGTAAAATTTGCTAAAATCATGCGATAATTCAGAACCTTCACAGACATCTTCGAAATTGTCACTACCTTTACGACAAATAGGAAAGAAAAATGGAAACTATAAGTGTGGTGAGAGCTAGCTGTTAGCTGAAATTAGTGGATAGTAATTTACGTCAATGTTTATGTCCCAATATTAGTCATGAGAAAAATGAGAACAAAGGCTTTGCTTAGACGGGATACATTCAAGACATTCAAGAAACAGCCACAAAGAGATGCAAGGTTAACTCTCTGCGAGAAACAACCAATCAAAGGACTGTGTTTTTCTGCTAACAATAATCTATTACATGTACATGAAAATCTATAAATATGTGTTGATTTGCTTAATAAACTATCTGTTGCCTGGCCCTTGTCTTCTGTTGTTACATAAGAAAGGAGTTTAGAAGTTATGCAATTACATTTGATATGATTATGAACGACAAACTGTGTTCTAAATATCGTGTGATATATCCAATAAATAAATAAATAGAATAACTATTGTCTTGTCAGTGCTTCTAGGCAATGGTAAGTTCCTCACCGAGTATTTCCTTTGTAAAGACTTTTCATTACTGTTAAATAATGTTCTAACTGGACTATTTTCGAAGTTTATTAAACAAAAGTTGTTGAAATTACTAAATTTATATTGTCCTCCATGACATATTCCTGCTTTATTCAAATTCCCGAGACTTTTATGCCACACATGTGTTGACCAACCATACAGTCTTTATGTGTTTTATACTATTTCGCTTTGTTTTCCTCATTTATCTCGTCTTACTAATGTGATTTCACATTGGAATTAGGGCTGAAAAGGTCGTCTAGAAGGACAGTGGAAGCTCGTCAGTTAATGCATCCAGTTCAGAAAAAATAACAACATTAAAAACACTCACCTGGGGTATAAATATTCCCCCACTATTTCAATATAAATATCCTCACACTTTTAAAGTGTAACGGTTTTTATGCTGATAATTTAGCGTATAGTTCATGTTTGCTAATTCAGTTATTTAATACAAAGTTTTCTTGAATTGAAAATGCAATTTATTTTATCAGTCGCTTAACGTACAACAAACAGATCTTGAGTTCAGACATCAACTTCATTCACTTTTGTTGAAGACTAACTGGGCAGTCTTACAAATCAACATTTATAAACTCTTATTAAAAGCCTGTTACTCTTGTGGTCTAGTGGATAAACGTTTAACATTTTATAAATGACCCGGTACAACCGAGGGTGGTAGACTTCTCTCTTCCTTTCAAAGTGCTCATATGTGGCATCTGCTGAGGAAGTCTTATTCACTACCATCACACAGCAGAAGTTTTCCTCACAAAAGTGAAAGGCTAAATGTGAAAACGTTGGGTGTTTGCAACCAGTCTGGTGGACATATACAGGTCTACCCAGGAGAGCTGGAAAAATCTGATTCCAAATCTCTGTTTTACATGGGCTCAAGAATTGAATAGTGTTTGAACCTGTTTCGGTCATCGGCAACCATGGGAACGTGTACCTCCTGACGTTGGTGATATGTTGATATAATACACACCAATCACACATGTTGTCCGGAGTTCGATCCCTTACCCAACTCACTCATAAACCTCGCTTAGCCCATAGTAAGTCCATTAAAGAAGGAGGTTTTGGTGTGAGGCTATCAACTCCACTCCGTAAAAGTAAACCCCACTATTACTGAAACTTCAAAAATCAAGCTTGACTCCCTATGTGCCACTTAAGACGCAAAATTAAAATTAAATTAAAAAATAAAATAAAACCGTAGAAATGTGGCTCCTAACGCTACTCTACTTCCTTGTGGATTCGAATTCAAGTCAAAGTCTAGAAGAGAGTGGCCTCTTTAGGCATCCATCTGCTCCTGTCTGGGAATCTGGATAGTATCCCACCTGTCACACAAACTGTAAGATTTTATGAGGTGCATCTCTTGGTGCCTGTTCTGTTCTAATAGATGCACCCGTTCACTCGCGGGTCAGGGCATACTTGCATGTATCAGCTCTAGAATTACTACAGTTATCCATCTAGTATATATGATCTTAGGAAACAGCTGATTTAATGAGCCATTCGCGGTTTCACCGTTTTAAGCTATGTACTTAGACATGCATGGCTTGATCTCTGAGACCAGAATATGACTACTGTCAGGATCAACCAGTTTATTCACACAGTGATACATCCATTGACTGGGTATTGGTTTTCAGGAGAACCAAACACACTCATCCCTGCCTCTTGCGAGACGAGACGGGCATGCAGGATCATCCTGTGGCGCAATCATTCGAGGGCCCTCTCCCTCGGTGGACCATTCGCACCGTTAGTATACATAGTAATGCGTAAGTAAGCATTGTTACGCCGATCATTGATCGCGTCAATCAATTATGCACTGCATAGACAAGCCCAATAGAACTCATCTCGCATACAAGACCAGCCTAACGTATTATTAAATGCAAAAGTAGCACGCATAGCTACGCTATAGTGATAATAGACCCCTATAAACGAAGCTAGAAACCCCCAAATTAAATGAAATCTTTATCCATGCCAACCAATTTAGCATGCAAGTAGCTTCTATACCTCTGCCAAGACTATAGAAAACCATACACAATCATATAAGCGAGCCATGAGAACCATTTAACTCACGCTCATATCGTCTATATAGCTTATTCTGTGTTTACTATAGGATTTTAGGATTATAAGCAAGACAGCCTAGCTAGGCGCTATTAGGCCTAAACAAGCCCGAAACCCCATAGTCACAGACAGATACCAAAACACGTTTCACGCATTCCCTCTATCATTTGAAAGCGTTTTTGAAATTTTCAATTTTTCGACTATTTTGCACCTGATCATAATATTAACTCGTCATAGCAGACAAATGAGTTACACCTGAATACATGAATGACAATTGCAAGCAGAAATATAATTTCAGTTGACATTAAGATTCAACCGATAGATGACATACACCTTTCATTTTCTTTATTTTGATGATTACATATATATATATATATATATATATATATATATATGATTGTGCTTTTCTATCTTTTACTTATAGATACAAAGGATTCATTACCAGAATCAATGTATGGTCGGTATTATCATTTATTTATTCAAGGAGAATTGGATGATCTGATTGCTAAAGTACCTAGTTTAAAAGTTGAAAAGTCATTTTATGAACAAGGAAATTGGGTTGTACATGTCAAAAAAATTGTATAAAATATGTTTTGCACGCATATATATATATATATATATATATATATATATATATATATATATATATATATTTGTATATAGTTTAAAAAGGCCCAAAATATGTAAAAATTATCATTCTACAATGATTTTACTTATTTACTTGTTGTATGGATATGCGTACGTCTCGGGTATACATTGAGAAAGTTTTGGAAAGACATCGCGCTCCAGTCCATTGCTCGAGTAGAATCCCGTTGGGAAGCGACGAGTCGGTCGTCGGTGCGAGGTTAACACGTAGGAGATCGTGTGGCGAGGAAGAGATGAGAGATTATGGGCAACCACAGGTAAGAGGACAACAGAAAATAGAACGAAGTGGAGATGTGTTGTTCAAGCCCTATGTTCCACCCGGAACCCAATGGAATAATCATAATAACTGCGTGCGTCTGTGAATTGTTGCTTTGAGTACCCTTGGTACAAAGTATCGACTGTAAAAGAAATTTACTACTTAACTGAGATCATAGGGTCTGAGGGTTATGGTGAATGAATTCTAGTGCATTTATCAGTCAAAAACCAAAGGGAAATTTATTGCAAACATTTCATTGTTGAAAGTACAACTTCTACACCCGAATTATTTCACTGTTTAATAAGGTAGATTTTATCAAAAACGGATATGAGTTGGAAAACCGTAGGGCCCACTGAAGAAGAGCTGTTTCTTTCTAGTTTGTGATTTTCTCAGTAGAACCTTCAAGTTAATAGAGGAGTCTGTTGATTATTCATCTACCGAGGGCGAATCCAGTGACCTATGGATTTTAACTTTTATCAATTCGTAAGATATGTGTCTATATATATATATATATATATATATATATATATATACTTAAATGGTCAATTTGTATATCAGCTGCATTTGGTCATTTCTTAAACAACAAATCATCAAACCAGTTAACTAGCAACATTATTCTTATTAGTATTGTAACAAGAGAAGACAAGGACCAGGCAACAGATCGTTTATTTAGGAAATCAACACACATTTATAGATTTTCATGTACATTATTATAGATAATTATAAGCAAACAAACACAGTCTTCTGATTGGTGGTTTCTCGCTGAACGTTAATTTTTCATCTCTTTGTGGCCGTTTATTGAAGTTCAAATGATCTACCTGCAAATTGTATCCGCCTACGCAAAGTCTTCTGTGATTGGTTGTTCAATCAGTCTTTGTTCATATTTTCTCACGACCAATATTGCGGACGTAAACACTGACGTAAACTACTGTCTATCAATTTGGCTAGCAGCCAGCTCTCACCACAGCAGTAGCTTGAAGTTGATGAAATACAGAAAGTCAAAGAAACAACCGGTTCCAATACAAGTAACCTAGAAGGTGTGAAAACACACACAAACAATCAATCACGTCCAAGGTCACCAGGAGAGATGATTAATAAACTCGTGGAGAAATCTAAAAGCTCACTTCAAATTGAAGTATGCGCTGAAGATGTCACCCAGTAAGGTGATGAAAGCTTCGCAAACTAACCATCCAGCTCAGAGAACAAAACCACATCAAAAACAGAAATGATTATTATTCAAGAACATGATTGATTAAAACATCAGACGGTTGTTTCGCTTGTTTGGTTGGTATACCCGGTTTGACTGAGCTCAGAAAGCTGAATCAGTTTGAACAACCCCGCCGTCTGGTGTTTAAATCACTTCTATCTGGCTAGCAAGCACTATTGGTTGATGTGAGCGGTATACAACTACTCAATCAATCAGTAATAGTAGTAGTAGTAGTAGTAGTAGTAGTATGTGGTTTTATGTAAATATACTTGGTTATTCTTGATTAACACTCATGATACCAGTCAGATCATATATATTGTGATATGAATAACCTGGGTTTCCAAAGAAAACTGGTGAAATGATCACTCCGAACTGTGTAAATCGCTAATTAATTCTCAAAATTGCAAATTTGATTTAATAATAACGTTAGGAAAGACAAGGTGAACTAGGATGGAATTGATCAGAAAGCAATATTATTAGAACCGATGCAAGGAAGCGGTTTAATTAGACGATTTTGAATACATGTTATTATCATTATTCCCTTGAGTTTCGAGTGGGCTTCAAAAGCACATCTCCATTTTGTCCTATTCCCTGTGATCCTTTTCATCTGGTCCCATGATCTCCCAAAAGCTTTCATTTCCTTCTCATACGATCTCCTCCATGTCACCCTCGGATAAAATGGACAACTCGACATTTCCAATTCGGGTTCTATTGGAAGGCCTTGCGCGCAATGTCACTCGATGGCCCTCCTTAGCGAATCCCATACCCACCTCCATCTTCATCTACATATTTGTTGAGCAATAGGTCCATGGTTGGTTAGTTCCCCGACTTACTTATTACCAACCACTTCTGTTAGGCCATCTGATCTTCATTATAGAGCCGGTGAAGCCTGTCTTCAGCAGGCATTCGGAAATGCTTTGTGACGCACCCGCGAAGTTTCTGGCCAATATATAAGTGACTTAGCATTGGTGTTGAAAATTTGAATCTTGTTCTTTATGATGAGTGCAGAAGAACATTTCCGAACAGATTTCAAAGCCAATTATTTTTATTTTATTTATTTTTGATTACAGCTTGATTCCACACTGTATTTTTGGTACAGGTATGGAATTTTCAGCATGGATATCGGTAGCTCAAATTTCTCAGGCCGACCATAGATATCAGGTGTGCGTCGGCGTGGGCTCGAACCCCGGACCATGTGCATGGTCGGCGAGAATCCTAACCACTGTGCCACCGATGCACAGGTCTGTCTCACCTTTCCGATTCTCGTTTCGCCATCCTCATCGGTGCTATCCGCCTGTAGTTGAAATGATGATATGACTAGATAAGTGGAAGAAGTGACTTCCTTCAGATTTCACTGCTGGTAGTGATTCGTGCTTGCTGTTGCCGATTGGTTATTTTCATCACCTCCATCTTCTCTATGTTCAGTCGAACGCCTGTCTTCGCTGTCTGTTTCTTCTTCTTCAACATGTTGGTTATCGCCTGTAAGTCTCCGAGTTTGTGTGACTTTAGACACAAATAATTCGCGAAATCCAGATCTTGTAGAGCCTTCTTGTCGATGGTTCAACGTATTCCTGTCTTCTCGTTCTCCACGTACGATGTGTTGCATAACGTATTCCACCACAATTAAGAGTGGCACCGGTGATAATGTCTCACAACATAATATCTAAGATATGAAATGTAGAATTTGACTCTTCTTTGATAGTGAAAATTATAGATTGTTATTATTATTGTTCCCTTGGGTTCCTAGTGGAACATAGGGCTTCAACTGCACGTCTCCATTTGCTTCTGTCTTGCTTCTGCTGTACTTTTCACCTGCATCCATGTTAGTCCATACTCTTTCAACTCCTTTTCACACGATCTCCTGCACGTCACCCTTACACTGACGTCCCACTCGCCGCTTCCCTTTCGACCTGGTTCCACTCGAGAAATGGCCTGACGCGCACGCGATGTCACCCAGTGGCTTCCCCTCAGAGAGTGTTCAGTCCCTCCATCTCCACTTTCTCCTGCATATTTGTTGGTTGGCGATTGGTTCTTGTTTTGTTTTGTATGTTCCCATAGTTTCTTGTTGTTGTGATTCTTTCCGGCCCGGCCATCTGATCTTCAGTATAGAGCCAGCGAAGACAGTTAGTTGTTGATAAAGGTCTGCAATAGCTGTTGGTGGAAATATTCTTTGCAACCCGTATAGAAGAACTGGCTTGATGTTTTTATTGAAAATCCTACCGAATTTTGTTGTTGATGCTGACTGAGTGACGAAGATTTCCAGATTGGTTTCAGGTTGATGAATAATGTGTTTCTCGCCTTCCCGATTCTCAACAGGTGATCATAATTAATTTGTTTGAGAAGGTCAATAGATGACTAGTTTTCATTATATAAAGAGACAATATCTTTCAGTGGACCATTCTTTAAGCTCCTCTCAAATAAGAGACAATTCATTGTACTATCCAGTCTAACTAAAATAAACAGGCAACTAATCTTTTCAATAAATTATCTTTATGTCACATGATTAAGTCAATCGATCTATAAATAAATGATTAAATGCATAGTGGCGGGTAATTAATTCACTAACTTAAAGAAATAACACTCATACAATTTATTTTGACTTCTCTTGATTTATAAATATCTTCTACATGTCTACGAATAATTATTATTTCAATATTCAAAATTCAATTTACACACTATAACTATTTGTTTATGTTTCATATAAAATCTATTGAAGCGCAAGATATAAATCAAGCTTATGAGTTTACAATCAATCTGTTTCAACATCATTATGGTACAGAAATGAAAAGTTATTTAGAGAAGGATGAATTTGAAAGGCTATTCAATATTGACTTTTTAAAAGGCCTACTTCTAATGTATACACCTAAGAATAATAACAATAATCATAATAATTATAAGAATACAAATGAAGGGATAAAAGACAAGAAGACGACGACAAGTAGACCAATTGGTTGTATGATATACTTTATAGATATTTCACCATTACACGGTGGTTATGGAATAATGTTGGATCAATTTTTTATTATCTCAGAATTTCGTCGTCAAGGTCTTGGACATATGATGATGAATAGACTGTGTAAAGAAGTGATTGCAATCAATGGAAGTTATATTAAATTATCTTATCAAGAAGGAAATGGTTTAGAGAAATTCTACACCGATTTAGGCTTTATAAATCATTCTCATGGACAATATGGTTTACATATATTTGAATTGTACGGGAAATCACAAGTTATTGATTTTTTACATAATTATGAAAGTGAATTACAAGGACAGCATGAACAAGAACAAAAGATGAGTATAATAACATTTCCATGCCATAATAATCAATCATCATCATCTTCTCAACTGTCAACATTTTTACCTTCTTGGTGTGATACATCGACTGAGGTGAATGATTTACGTTTCCCTAAGGCACAGATTGTAACAGTATTAAGTTATACAAAAACAAATAATTGTTATGAATTGAATAATACAATTGACAGTTCACTACAATTCAGTGGCGTTAAATGTGCACAAGATCAATTGCATAACTATAAAGGAATGTGTATATATGTTGAACAATGTTATGTATGTTGTTGGCTTGGTCCAATGTTAAATTTTACTGATTTTGTCGGAGATTTAAGTATTCTATCAAAACGATATATATGGTCACGTGTAAAATTATGGAGTCAATTAGTCCCTGAGTTGTGCGGTTTTGTATGGGAAGTACCATGTGGTGATGTCTACGATATTGATTCATTGGATATGGATTGTTTAAAAGGGATTTCATTAGCTAAACAATTGATACAATTGAATATCACTGATGATACAATCCAGGAAGGATGGAATATTAATTATTTGGATAGAAAAAATATTGAAATTTTGAGTGGAAAATTATCAAAAGACTTTATGTAATTGATAAGCAAGAAGTGACTGACATGCGTCGCCGCATGGGGGAGGGGCGAGAGCTGGAGAGGAGGGTGAGAGGAATGTAGAAAAATTGAAGGGAATATTTTAATTTCACATTCCTGCCGCCTTGTATCCTTCTTTTTCTTATTTTTCTTGATTTTATTTTCACTATTTATCGGCAAGTTTAAGTGAATAGATTGTGTATTTCTCATCTTTTCACCTTTGCCTGTTTATCTTATCTGGAATTAAGCCTTTTGTGGAATTTATTTTGGCGGAATATGTAAGTAACTGGTTGAAGTAGCTTGGCGGTGGTGATTAGAAGTGGAATCCAGGATACGCATTTCATCCTATTTTGGAACTCATCGTTTGGATGCACTTCCATTTCACAGTGGGTGGTGGTGTTCTCAATGAGACTGGAACCCAGTAGCCATGATTTCAAACGGCGAAGCTCATCTAATAAACCATTAGGCCAAGAGAGCCACCTCTTATGCAACTCATATCAGTTATTATATGTTTTTATGTCATTTTTAATTTTCCCGTCGATTGATAGGACTGAAATGTTCGACTACTATTGACATCTCAGTGAGAACACTATTACTCGATGCGGAATGCAGGTACATCCAGGTGATAAGTCTCAGATAGTCACCATCACTAAATGAACTCAAGTTAATCCGCAGACATCGTCAAAATGTCCGTGCTGGGAGCCGACATGTCAACAGAGACCGAACATTTTCGTCCAGTCGACCAACAGGAAAATCAAAATTGAGACTTAAAGACAGACAACTAGTTGCTTTCAATAAATTTCCAGTAAAACCGTCAGAATCTCATAACAGATTCCACGGTAATTCCTTATTATTGTAATGAATGACATCTTATGATTCCACTGTGAGGCAGTGACCACTGGAGTCAACGATATTGAGCGTGGGAACGCATGTATGATAATGAATAGTGGTGGGAACCTTTCTCAAAGTGGTAGATGTTGAAAATTTTGAATTGGTTGTGTTCTCTGAGCCGGTGGATTAAATTGCGAAGCTTTTGTCGTCTTTCTAGACTACATCTTCAGTGGAGGCTTTAGTATGGAAATCCTGCGCCGAAGATGCTGTCTAGAAGGACGGCGAAAGCTTCGCAAGTGAATCCACAAGCTCAGAGAACACAGCCAATTCAAAATTATCCACCTGAGCTACAAATCTTCTCCAGCATTTCAAGACATTTGGATTCTGATCGATTGAGGAAATGATTGATGCAAGATCGAATATTTATTTATAATTTTGATTTCATACAAAGTCATTGATTCACCTTACTTAGGAGTTGCAGATTAAGACAAAACACTTATCCAAGGTGACAGGATTTCATCATGAGCTGACATTAGTTAGAGAACCATTGGGAAGCCACCTGGGAGTACTGGATAGCTGTTTCGTGAGACTAGTTTGGGACTCTTCAGCAGTACGCACCCACCGGCATTCGAACCCAGGACCTTCCGGTTACAATGCAGGCTCGTATACCATTAAGCCACTGGAACCCGACCCGATCCAATGGCCCATGAATTCTAACTTCTGCCAAATCACAACATAGCGCGACCCCTATCCAAAGTCTTCGGCGAGTATTTGTCCTCACACCCGACCGGCTGCAGCCTACCTGTCACGACCCTACTTATCCAAGGTTTCTTGTTTATCGATTGTTCTGGAAATAATGCCGAAGAATACTACAAGATGGTTTCGTATTAATGGGAAATTAGTCAGCTAGACAGAGAAATCAACATGAAACCGTGTACAAAAGGGCATTAATACAAAATGTCACACTTAGAAAATATACTTACAAATAAAAGAATATAAATGTAATGATACTGCGATAGACAAACATGAATTTGAAAGGGAATATTTCGAGAATTCTCTAGTGGTACAGAATAGATGTATCAGTGAATGATTTTGAGACGTGCGAAGACGAGTGTTTAATCAGTGATTTCTAGCATCAGCAGGATATCTATCAGATAACCTAGAGTCATCTGTTTTACCGAGACAAAGAACCACAAAATAGATTCGTGGAAAACACCCATATGGATATTAGAAAGAAGAGAACACGAAGTTCAGCAAAGATATCTTTTCGGTGATTTCATTTTCAAAACCTGCACAATTGCATTTAAATACATAATTTTACATGGATACAATTCCACATAATTGCGACGGCGAATACAAGGTGATAATTATTTTCAACTAGATATGGTTTACGAGGGGCTTAGAAACAATATTACATAGGATTAGAACGGATGACAAGTGTGTAAAAATGAGCATGGAAACAAAATTGAAATAATAATTTTCAACTTGAGATGGGTGTTAGGTGTGAATATAGATTACAAGAGCCTTAGAAACACAAAAATTCCACAGGATTAAGATCTAATTGTAAAATAGTTATTTTAAACGAATTATAATTATGAACAGGAAAAGCATGGAAACAAACTTAACTGTTTTTATAAGTGAAAAAGTGGGGCGAATCGAATGAAGACAGAGGGAGTAAGAATCACACACACACAGCGAGCGAAAAAAGATCAAAAGGAAAAAGAGAATGAAAGAAGAAAAACCGGAAGCTAAGGGAACATACCGAACTAGGTCCATGGTAGCTGTAGAGGCTGGACTAATTTCTTTCGAACACACGGCTCCAGCTTCTCGATGCATATTTCGAGGGCTTCTGCAGTACAGAGAAGTCGAAAACATACTGCTTTTGGTAGGTTTCTGTTGATTTTGAAAGAATCAGTTGAGATGTTGTGGGAGGTGTTGATCAGATGCTCAATAATGGAACTTCTGATTGAACCGGTGCCTCCTCTTTGCAACCACTCTGGGTAATGTTCTATAACACATTTTGAAAGGACGCGCATACAACTACCTATGCATCTAGCTCCGCACGAGCAGGTTAACTGGTATATGCACATTGAATTGGTCATATGCGAGAGTTTGTCCTTTGCGTTGTTCCGAAGTATTGGATGGCTACAAAATGTCACTCTTAGTGTTGCGGCAGGGAAGGTCTTCTTTAAAGAGCTGGATATTCTCCTCTTCAGCATATTGGCTACCAAATCTCCCCTGAAATTCAGATTCAGATACAGTGTTTTCTTTTTCGCTGAATCGTATTCTTCTCTTTTTGGTTTAGGTTTCATGTTCTTTTCGACAAAATGTGTGGATTGATTGATGTAATATTGTCTTTTTAGGTGAATGCGTCAAAGAAACATAAAGTCTTCTGAGCAAACTAAACAAAAATCGGAATTTGTTTGATAAAACCATTTGCCCATGTCGAACGCTAGACGTTCCTGCAATACGAGTCTCCACCGTCTCCTAATTTTAGAGAGAGAGAGAGAGTGAAATACTCGAGTATGTTAACTGCTTTACTTATGTGAGAAGTTGTATCAGTTCTGATAAACTGGCCGCTAGCAAAATATTAAGATGAATGTAGAAGGCCTGTTTGACATTTGCAAGATTACGTCATCCTTCGGCTACACATCAGAGGGCATGTATACTGTTCACTCTGCTAACCGTGATACATGTTAGAAGAAAATATGAAAATAGATTCCTTTGTTTAGTCACTTGCGTTAGATGAATTAGGCAAGGATGGTTAGTAATGATGAGTAATAATTAAGTTAGGTGTATAGTTTTAGTTAAGGAGAGTGAACCGATTGAGAAGTGTTTTTTGCATGTTACATTAGCAGAAGTGAGATCAAGCCGAAAAATAGCACTAAGTCATTGATTGTTGAGGAATAGGTATACATTGCTTGGTTGTGGCCCTCAGGATGTTAAAACCAATGGTTCGAGGCAATCGTTGACATGATTCGAAACCGTCCTTGTTATCATTCCGTCCCTGAAAACTTCTCTCCCGTAAATCTCCTCTTTTATGTACTATTTTACGAAGTTTAGTAACTTGAATTGATGCCTTTTTGTGCTATCCCAGTAAGCAAAAATGTTTCAATCTAACCACCACTTTTTCCTTGGTTTAATTCTGTTTCATTTGAGATTACTTGTCAAGAAGGGTAGTGGTGTTATCCTTGATAAGAACCTTCAGAAGCACTGATTAGTGGAAATATTCAAATAATCGATGTCAAGTTTATTCTTCATTTCATACAAAAGTTATAGCGAATGAGTGACAAACAAATAGATAAAAACCTAAAACTTAAGTACAGTGGTTGACGTGCATTTCTTTACGTAAATTATGCAAGTTCCTGACTAGAAATCCCTCACAATGTATTCATAAACTTTAACTCATTGACTTATCAGGTTTCATTTACGATCCTTACAGAAAGCACTTAAAAATCACCTAATTAAATGTATCTAGTGAAAGGTGAGGATTATTATAATCTGCGTGGATGGATACACTGTATGATACACAAAATATGCGAAATTATGTGAAAATTAACAAATAAATAATTTTCTAGAATTGATTTGTAGGATTTGATTTATTCTTCAGTTAGAAGACCATTGAAAACCAGGGAGTACTGGACAGCTGTTTTGTCCTAGTGCTTGGGACTCTTCAGCAATACGCAACCACTAGGGTTTGAATGGTTTTCTAATCGTTGTCAGATCTGATTGCTACTACCTTGACGTGGTGGTTGGGCTTGCATATCACAATGACCCAACAAGCTACATTGACAGGAACTATTATTCCTGTATGTCCTACCATGCCAGGAAGGTTTCTAGGATAATGATTAGACTAAAACAATTACTGGCTTATTGTATGAATTGTTTTTACACTACACTGGGGGTCTGTCGGCAAAATCATACTGCTAGAGAACAGGGATGTAACAGCAGTGAGGTGTTTCCCTCAGGTGACCAGCATACTAGCTATGCTGTCCCTCCACTCTGAAAAGAGGGGTTAGAAAAGGTCAACCCTAAAAACTGTACATTCCGACTTACCCCACGGTGGTAAGTTTACTAGTACGGAACCAAACCAAGGAACCAGTTCATACAGGCAGCGTGTGACTGACCTCAAACAGTTGTCCCCTGGGCTCTGCGGTCACGCAACACTAACAC